ATTACCATCGGAGGAAAGTGACAAAAGTGATAACGCACAACTTGAAAAATGCTTGCTCTTCTCTTTTTAATAGTTCGTTATGGTAGCTGTTCATTTTGATAAAAGATCATTGATAAGGTTGATAACGTGTAAGTAAGGAAAGTGTAAAATAACACTGTCAATCATGTCAGTAGTTTTTATCAGAGGCCAGTTTTCCATTACCAAAATATTCACTTTACATGTGTATTTGCTGCGAATCAAACTTTCTTTACAGTCATTTTTGTACATAAAAAGTATTTACTGATAAATTAAAAAAGTTTTCTGAGTTTATCTTCCACTGATTTTTTCAGATCTTACATTGTTTATTAAACAAATTCAAAGGCAGTGGACGTTGCGTGATGAGAATTAAATCCGTTGATGCTTTCCAATTCATCCAAATTCTATTTTATATATGGAATTTCAGCCTTTATGTCATTTCTTTGCTATTATATGGTCATACCTCTGAATGGTCACATCTGTAAAGACAATCAGTAAAGTAAATTCATGCTTTTGCACTCATTAAGTTGTGTTCATTACTGTAGTATTCAGTTTTTTGCGTACTAATTTGTTATTTTAGCAATAAAAACAAGTTTTTATTATTTTTAGTTTGCACAATTATAATTCAGACAGAAACGTGAACCATAAAATACAGTCACATGCTGTTTTTCAAATGTTATTTGTGATTAGCGAATCCAATTCGGGCATTTCCAATGTCATATATTTGACAGTATAAACGACCAAATACATTGCCAAGAATCCACGGTGTTCCAAAACCTGTGCTGTACACCATTTGTACTGCAAGAGCACAGATTCTGTCGTCCCCATTCGGCTGAAAAATTTCTTGTTCAAATGACACAAACTAAAATTTTGTTACAAAAAAAGTGATAAAAATATTCGAGAGTAACATTGAACTATTATATCTATTTTTCTATTATATCTATCTTTGCGTATAACTAAATACTACTGTATTCTAGTAGATTGTAGTTATTTTTTCACGCAACATTGATTTTATCCCCACGTTGTGGTTCTTTAATTTATTTTTTATCCTTTCTCAAGTCAATTTCTGGTATTTCATTTAAATTCTTTAACAGTAAAAAACAACAATACCTTATTAATGTATGTTTCAGACAGTATACTGTATGTTTTGCCGCCTATCTGATATTTGATAGCAGGTAATGATTCATGAATAATCTTTGAGCAGTTAAATAGATAAAACTCCGTGTTTTCATCGTAGACTGCTCCGACTTGTCCCGCTACGTGAATTACTTGTAATGGTGGCATGCCCAACCAGGAAGTTCCTGTCGCTGAAATTGCTTGATGCCATTGTTTGCTACTATACGCACCAACTGAGAAGCTATAAAATTTGAATCCGTCGTTAATTCAATTATGATTCATGAAATAAGTCACTGTATATTAATCTTATTATTATTATTATTATTATTATTATTATTATTAGGCATATTTTAAGTAATAAATGAATTAATTAAACAAATATCTGTTAATTACTGATCTGCTATTTGTATAAGACACAGTAGAAGACAATATTATAAAAATACGAACTGTATAATGAAAATTAGCGAGCTTTTTTCAAAAGCATTCTGAGATTAAGTTTCTTATTTCTGTAATCGTTGAAATATATCTTTGACCTAAGTGAAGTTTTACTTAATAATTTTCATCTGTTTGTTGTAATTCAAAATTAGTTTAAAGGCTAAAAACAATATTAAGTTTTGATCTTAACGTAAATACATTTAATTCTTAATCATGTTATATCCTTTCAATTATACCATTCGTAATCAATTTGACAAAATTTATTCAATATAAAAGCTTAAAATTAATATTATTAATAAACTACTGCATAATACTGTATGATACTGTAGAGCAAGTTTTGAATCAATCAAAATAATGAAGAAAATTTTGTATAATTATCGTTGTATTTTGTTTCCTTCAAATTTCAACCTTTGGCTATTTACAAATTGCTTCAAATTAAATTCTTATATTTGAATTCATATTGAAATGTTCAGTCCAAACGATAAAAACCAACTTCTTTTCATTTATATTTGTTATTATACATCAAATTTTTGGCCTGAAAGTAGTTCTGCTTAACATAAACATTTTATTTTAACATGTGCAAATTTTGAAAAATTAAGAATATTCATATTAAAATGCCAAATTACCCTTGGATAGTGAACTGCCAATATGATTTTGACGTAAGTAAAACCCAGGAAAGCGTGGATAAGTCACATCGCTTGTTATCTAATCCACCGTACGTAATTGCACCACCCCAAAAAATCTTTTTTCCTGGATCAAGACTGCAATTAAAGTTTAGGATAACTTTTTTTTCAACTTTTTGTCAGTATTTAAGGATTTATTTTTATACTAATATTACATTGAAATAAAACATACATTTAATTGCAAATTATAATTATATTAAGAGATATAATCTGAAATATTGTCTATTTTGGCCCACAAAAACATTATATTTGATCTCTCGGTGCATAATATTATATATATTTTTTTGCCACACAAAGAAATATACCTTTTTAAGTATACAGTAAAAACTGGTTGGTCGAATTGGCTTAATACATTTTGTACAGGTGGAATGTTTTTATTGTAAGCAATAGAAGGCCATCCTAAACCAAACACACCATCCATCGGTTTTTCAACAAAAACAGGACCGATTTTCCAGGCTAATCCCAGTTTTTGAGATGGAATTGAAAATTCACTAAACTGTAAAATACTTCATTTTTTTAAGGCAGAACTTACTGCAAACTAGACGACTCTAACAGGTCAGAGGGCAAATAAATTATTATTACACATGATTTTCTTCAGTAATAATATTTAACTGCTGCTATTATCGTAATTAAGTGTAAAAATTAACAAAGGCGCTGATTAATTTTTGAAATTTATGACAAAAACTGTTCACATCGTAGAAGATCATATGATTGCTGTGTTGCCTAAGACAGTTCTATTAGGTCTACTATTTATGCATTGTTGATGAAAAAAAACGAACAGAAACAGTATCTGTAGCCAAGAATCCAGAGCACGTTCCTGAAGCATAAGCTAGATTGAACGGTTCGTCATCGGTCCAGTATGTCGATGAATTTCTGTAGAAGCACGTACAGATGAAGTATTTTGTTAATTATTATTATTCACTTTTACAGTCTATGGCGTTTTTGATTAATTTTGGTTTAATTATTTGGAAGATTCTCAAAATTGCTTAGTCTTAAGTGTTTCTGAACAGAAATACACATTTACTTAATACATTTTTGAACTACAAAATTAGCATTCGATGATGTTACTAATTTAGCATACTGAAATAACTCATTTATTTTAAGTCAATTCTTTATTTTTCAAATTTATAATAATATCATTTTTATACTTCAGCTTAGTTTTAGTTTTGATGCCAACAATAAGAATCACAGAATTATAAATCAGAAAATCTTACGCTTCATTAAACTTATTTTTGCTACTAATAAAATTTCTAGCAGAGTAAGTGGATTTTTCGTGAATTGAAACAACCCACAAATCTGAGCTGGCTGTGTCCGGAATAACTAAGAAATTCTGAGCTGAAACTTTCAACTTTTCAATAAGTTAAAAAAATGATTTCAATAAATCATCTTATAATTTCTGATAAATTTACATTTGATAAAATCAAAAGCTATGTTAAACGAAATAATAATGATTTGAAATAATAATAAATAATATACGATAAATACTTTCATTACTGCTTAATGACTAAACAAATTATCAATATAATCAAAAAGTCAAACTATAACTTTGCCAGTTATCTCAGTAAGCTAATAAAAATTGTTCCAATGTTACCATTACTTTTTATGGTTTGAAAAGGTCTAAACAATAAAAGTTCAAATGTCATACGGGGTGTTCCAATGGTAATATTTGTTAGAAAGTAATTGTCATAATAGTTTGCAAGATCTTGCTCAGCAACATGCTTAACGGATTGAGTTGGAACTGATTTCACATCGAGCCTTAAAAATTGGTCACTATTACGATAATTGTTACTGTATATTGATGAATAATTAATTTAATTTATCGTGGTTGTTGAAAGAAAAATTAATTAATTTTCAAATCTAAAACTTTTTAAATATCCCAGTTTTCATTATTATTGGAACTTAAAGATAATAATTTGTAATAAAAGATCATATTTTGCATTCTCAATCTCTGCAATTATTATTATCAACTGTTATCAAAAATAAAGGTTTTTCGACTAAGATAGCAATACAAATTAGCAAAAAATTATCAGTTCCTAACTAACATTGATAATTTTTGATCAGATGACAAACTGTGCACTGAATGTAATTTTGTTACAGTTATTATTACTGTAGAAAGCAGTAAAAACTCGATATTAGTCATCGTCAGACTTCTGAAAATTTGAAATTTGAATTATGCAGTGAAATAGGATATTTTTTTAAATTTACATATATTATTACGAACAATATTACTTCAAACCTAAATATTAATTCTAAAATAAGATGTGTCACACAAGTATTAAAGCAAAATCAGAGATTTTTGAATTTATTAGTTTTTTCAATATACTGAACAAGTAATTTGAAAAATTAAAAGACACATTTACTGTTCATTGAATTTACTGTTTTGGATCATACAAGCTTGCATCTACAGTTCTTAATTACAATCATTCATTTCAGTAATAAGTTAATCATTACGTAGTAAAATGGATTCAAAATTAAATTTAGAAAAGATGTAAAAAATAACTGATAGTTTGTAATTCTAAGGACTACTTCATTCTGGATTAACCAACTTCTACTTGCACGTCTAATTTTGAATGATAAATTCATAAATTTCGGAATAACATTATTTAAAGTTTTATAGAAAGCAAAAATTAAATCAAAATTAGAGCAGTTTACCAAAAAAAGAGAATTTTTTTAAATATTATTCTTGCTGCCGTTGAAAATTAAACTTGGTCCTAATATATTTATTTTTTTGTTTGTGATAACAAATTTGATAACGCATTCGAATGCATACTTTCTAGCACAATCATTCTTCTTCATTTGTTTAATCTCTGATAAGCAGGAAGCAATAATGTTCCTAATTTTAAATTTTTTGATATACTTACTTATTATAAAGCTCCAGAATAAATCAAGCATCATATCATCTGCAAACTTATATTTGTACTTTACTTCCCAATTAATTTTTCATTACATAAATGAAATTAAACATCATGAACTTCTTGATACTAATTTTTGTCTTTCAGATACATATTTATGCAAATAAATATGCCAAAGACAGAATAAAAATGTCACATGTATTACTACTTTACTTATGATATAAACCATTCCAGATATAATTCCTGATTCCACTCTCTGCTAAAAATGAGTAGCATTATGTAGAATAACACCATATCCCTATTTCTTGAAAGTCATTTACTTTAGTTACTTTGTTTTTCGTTTCTTGTCAAAAGTTGATAAGCTTACTATGAAAATATAACTACGTACTCCTGTCTGAATGCTTTAATTACCATCTTTTAATAATATAATGCATAAAGTTAGCAAGATCAAATTTGAGTAATTCGCACATAGAAACAAAAAGAGCAGATTTGCGAATTTCCAATACCTATCAGATAAAAATTGAAAGTCTATATTTCAATCATTGACAGCACTGACATCTGTACAAAACACATTACACTATAATGTTTATTAAATACACGAATATTATGCGAAAACTTTATGTACTTACTTCAAAATTTCTTTATGGTTACATTCATTTGCATATTTTTTTATAATAATTTTTTAATCGCAGCGTATTTAATCATAAAAAACACATTTACAAAAGGGAAAAATAGATAATGACATTGAATAATCAAAATTTGCAGAAATTAACATCTCTTAATCCTTCGTAGATGTCAAAAAAACCAGAAAAATAAAAGAGAAATAAATTCTTTAGCCATAATAAGTTACAGAATTTTTAGAAGTTTCATGCAAAACCATTTTATAAAGTAATCCAGGATTCGACATTTCTGATTTAAGTTTATCCCACAGATAAATAACTAAATTTTCAGCAGAAGTAATTTTATACGCGAAAAATTGAATATCTTTATCTAAATTTTTATGATCCACTTCATCTAACACCTTTCTCATTTCATTTTTCAAATTGGCCAAGTTGTATACCTGAAAAGAAATTTCTATAAAATCCAAAATTCATTACAAAAATGATAACATACACGAGAGCAGCATTCAGTAATGGAGAGAATTTCTATCCGCCCTTGTATGAGAGAACCAGTATTTTACAAAATTCAAGAAAAAAATATTGAAAAACACTTATAATGATAACTTCAAAATCAGTAATAATGCTAATACCAAAAGTAAACATTGATAAAATGTATGGGACAAGAATAGCATACCAATCCAGAATCTTTATTAACTGGCCCTCTGACTGTAACTTCCCAAACATAATTATGTCCGTGACCATTGAAATTATTACACTTTCCATAGTACTCGCGGTTGGCCACATCGCTAAGCCCCTGATTATGCAAACGATGACTAGCTGAGAAAGATTCTTGTCGAGTTAACTCCACAGTTCCCATCGCGACTGCATCTATGAAACACACTTTTCAAGTACATCCCTCACATCCAAGATGATTCTTATATTAGCAAATGAAAATTCTGCCTCTTAAAAATATTTATTAAACTATTCCGAAAGAATAATGCTATCTAAACATGTAACTTAATGATCCTAAATCAAAATTACATCTCAACAAAGATCTCAAGCCAAATGCTCAGACCTACCCTCGACTTAATGTAAAAAATTTCAAGAACATATTTTCACTTAAACCAATAACGGTGTAACTACTTATAATGCAAAACAGTATAGAGCCGTTTATCGATTCACGTGATATTTAAAAAAACAACAGTTAAAGATGTTTAATGTACTATTCACATAACTAACGGTTTGAATTATGCACGATTAATATGGCGCTGATGACAAAAATACTGAATGGACATATTTTAACAGAAGAAAGGAGGTAAAATCACAATTTTCACCGCAGATAACATGAGCAGAGGATTCTGTCGTATTGACTGCATCACATTCAAAAGAACGGAAACAGAGCTGTGAGTACCGCAAGTTTCACAACACTACTCACAAATTAAGTACAACCGTTGAAGACTTAATCAGTGAAAAATTATAAAGTAAAAATAGACGGATAATAACAAGAATTTTGTGAAATCTTCATGTTTTCCTAATCTTTTTTCGAACCGAAATGTTCAAACATAATAAACTGATGTATTTTGAAAGAAAATTGTAGCAATGAAGCAAGTTTTCAAATCTAGCCATTTTATACCTCGAACATACGATAAACACAAGAATAAAAAGTAATGAATGGCAAGAATCACCATATCACAAAAATTTCATAATTCTTATTCGATTTCCGTCTATTGAAATGGAGCTCTGCACAAAGGACATGTAGACTGACGGCTTGAATCGAACCATTTATACTGCAATTTACAAATTTTGATAAGTAATGATGAATGCTTAAATAGAAATACTCAATTACATTGTTTTACTTTATTTCAAACACAATTACTTTTTACCTGATAACACAAATTATGATGTCATTAAATTTTATCAGTAATAATTAATATTCGATTCACCTCACTAAATATATGGTTTCTATCCTCACATGACTACTTACAAAAATTTGTCAGTGCAAAATCAAAACTCCTCCATTTTTTTGATGCACGAAAATAAAGAATAATTTATAAAAGCGCACCAGACAATCGGAATGAAATAGTTTTTTACACTGCTTGCAGCGTACACGGGGTAACTGATATGTTCTGGTATGAACGGTCATCAAACAAATAATACAATCTTCAGCACCTTCTATATGTTTCTCAATGTTACCGGCCCATAGTAAAACTCCATCTACAATTGTACCATTCTGAAAAAACCATTTGCAGCAATCAAATTCTAGCTTGATAAAAACCATAAGTTTCGCAAACATTAAAACACTTCCATATTGTTTTTTTACCTAATTCTATATATGTGTATAAATTACAGGATATTCTTCTCGTTAAAACAAAAAAAGCTGCATGAAAAACTGAAAACATTTTACATTGCGACAGCACGCAAATTTAATTGATGGAATTTTGAAAAAAGATACTTATAGAAGATTGAAAAGTAGCTAGGGCTTCAAGATTGCAATTTAATAAACAAAAAGTTACCTACACAACAATTTACCTGTTGACTGAGAAACATTGTTAGCTGTAAAAGCCACTTTCTCCTTTTTTCCAGACATACAACATTTTTTTCATCCTCAATTACAGGAATACTAAGTGGGTAATCTGCAGGATACTCAATCGTGAGAGTCATTTTCGATTCTTCCAAATTATACTGTGCAACAATCTGTCGAGCTGCTCGTAACAATCGTACCTGTAAAAATTTTAGTTCTATGTTAATGAATATTTGAAAAGCGACACAAATGAAGAAAAGAAAATAAGAAGTCTTAGAAACTATTATTGGAGTATCTATAAATTTTTTTAAACACATACACCCTTAATAAAATAAAATGGCAGAAAAATGTTTCAGTTACCATAACATAAACAATGATTTCAACACAAAAACTTCCGAAATCTAATCATTTTTTGACTATATAAGTAAAAAATGTATAATATACATGGTAAATGAAACAGAAAAAACAGAGAAATCCTCTCACCTTTAATTTTTTAGGCATCTTATGAGATGCAAAACGATCACATTCTGCTTTCCAAATCCTTGGAGTAATTGACTTCGTGACAAATCTGAAACAAAGAAGCATAAGATGCAGCCCACATTTATAATTAACAAAGACATTATGTAAATCCATGATAAAAGAATGAAGCATGAAAAACGGACGAGCTAACAAGAGTAGCAACAAAGCGAGGTAATTTCATATACCACTGTCGCACAACAGCTGGTAAAAGTTTGCATGTGTTATAGAATAAAGTATGTGCATACTGTTGCAACAAAAATTTCATCTTTTCCTGATAATCTGAAATAAAATTAATTTTTTATTTTGTTCATTAATCGTATTTATAGAAATACTTCATTACCATAAATTTTCATGTTTTGTTATACAATAAATTTGAAGATTTTCTATTTAACAAAACAAATTATTTCGCGCTTTAATCATACTTCATTAGATTACACTTTCCTTATATTATTCATTTCAGAACACAAAATCTTTTTACTTACTTTTCCAGAATTATTACGATACAAATGTAGTAGACGACATAATATTAATGCTCTTCTGAACTAAAAACTTTAAATGACAATCACAAGTAACCCAGCATAACTAAAAACTATAAAGCTGTTTCATAAGGTAATAAATCAAAAAATGAAAAAAATTTACCAGGAATAGTAATATCCACAACTTCCACTGGATCAAAATTAGTATCTGAAAAATCCCTCATGAAGTATTGCAATACAATTTTATTGTTTCAAGCTTGCATGATACTAAGATGAAGATAAAGCTAGATCAAAATAATGAAACAATTGTAGCCTTTGATAATTAAAAAATGTCATCATTAATTACATTCAAAAACAAGAACTTAAAGTTTTCAGAAGTCGATAGTAGGTCACATATCTGAAGCAGAATTTGATCTGTGTATAAAGACATCGCATTACAAAATGCGACTCTTTCGGATAAGTCAAACTGGCTCAGTGAGTTGATAAAAGCATCCCAAACAAGAAATTTCGGTGGTAAAACGCAATTATTTACTGCAGTATCACTTAAAATTCTCTTGAAAAGAACCGGCAGCTGTTTTTCATGTTGGGAAGATGGCAGCTTTTCATCAAAATCATCCTCTTCATCGTTCACATTTTCAATTTTCAACATTTTTCCTGTTATGCTAGAAATAATTCAGTTAAAATTTGGAAAGTAATATGCTATCAAGTAAAACTTCCAATTTAAACAAATAAAAAATAAAATAAAATTTATTTTTGCATGATTCAGAAATCCTTTCTTTCAAATACTGCACCAGAAAAGTTCTTTTAGACATCAAAATAATCAATTATAAAAATCTTTTCCTCGAAGAATTAAATTGCAGCTCAGTGTTATAAAAATGGAAAAAATGAATAGCAACTTACAGTTTCATAATTTTCAGAGAAACAATTTGCACATTTGGTAAATTAGAACAAATTAAGGTCTGAAGAGGAACCACAAGTGATTGCAAATGCGCATCGTACCTACAATTTTTTTTAAACAATGTTTATACACTATATATTTCAAGAATAAAAATAAAATGTTGCTCTTCAGTCAAAAATATTTGTTCGAAATAATTAAGTTTCGTGTTCCAAATTAATCAAACAAACTACAAAAAATACAAAATTATAACATGCAATTACGATTTATGAGATACAAACACAATAAATATTACTTCAAAAAATCCAATTCAGCGTCAAAAAGAGGTGGTAACATGGCACTTGTAACCAATTCTTCAGGCACACAATTAAGCGATAAACATAAAGCGTTTTGAAAAACCAAAGAATGAGAATCGTTTTGAAGAGAAGAAAGTTCCAAAAACCAGACAAATAAAATTCTCATAGCAATGGGACTATAAAAGCGATACCACTCCTAAATTCGAAATAACGATGATTATTAGTGATTATTACGAAGAAAAATTTCGCCATTAATATTTAAGCTGATAATACAAGCAATGAAAAACAAAAAAAACAGAACTGACAAAAAATGATAACCTCAGTGAATGTAGCAAATTCAATATCATTTCTAAGTTCATTGACCATTCGAGAACATTTACAAAATAACTTCACTAACATGCCAACAAACAGTAAATAAGATCGTGAGTGGCATTTACCCCATAGTTTATTAGCACTCTAAAATGGATGTGGAAATGTTGAAGCCATGTCCAAAGATGACTAAAGATTCGTCTACAAGAAAATACGACTTTAAAAAACTGGAAACTATGAAATAAAAATATTTTACTGCCAGGATTCTATTTAAAAAAAACCTCAAGTGCAGTTATTAATCCACAACAAAGAAAGTCTCGTAACCGAGCATCCATTGTTTGTAAAAATGAACAACAATGTAAGAGGAAACGAAGCAGGGAGCAATTAAACACATTCTGTTCTTCATCTTCTTTCCTCTCACATCTTGAAATTTCGGAATTAAGCGTTGGTAAATATTTTCTTTTTTGTAAAATCAAATATTACGAAAAGAGCTAACTCACTTGGCAATTTAAACCGACAAATACATATCTAGAGAAACGAAAATAAGCACAGCAAGTATGTATCTTTTTGAGATATCTTTTTGCTTGTGTGTAATTAGGTCATTAAGGAAATTTCGAACTACATTTCAGTAATTCTAAAACCAAAAGTTAAAAACTGCCGACTTATAAATGAATATGTATTGACTGAGATAAGAGCTTCCTCCTTCAACAAGCTGAGAGAGCAAAATTAACGGATTCATCGATATGTTAGAGGTAGTCATTTCAAAAACTCCTGTCCAGTATTGCATAGAAGAAAGCTCAAAACAATGGTGTTCGGGCTGTGTTCTTGTACCTTAAAAATCAAATAAATGAGAACATATATGCATATATAATTATCCAGTGGGTAAAAAGCTTTATGACTTAGAGTGAATACAATGATAAAATTGCGCAATTCATTAATATTCTGAAATCAATCACCTTGAAGACCTCGGAAACGAAAAGCTGCAATGCAAAAGGTTAACACAGTGCAACTGAAATTTCTTATGAAATCATTAAGAACTGTTCCAATTTTTTCTGCATGGAAATTATCAGCTAATATTCGCAATGCAAGAAAAAGACACAAAGACTCATTCCCCCTTGAAATTAGTGATAAACACTCTATCAAGAGGCTTTCCCTCAGCTCATCATTTCCCTGAAATTACGACGATTAATGCAAATGAGGATTTCAAGAATTCTAAGATTTGTATTTTTCTATACAAGATCTGTAGATAAATAGAATAAAATGGAAGAAAAGTAAAATGAAAAAACAAACCATGATTTTTTGATTAACAAAATCATCCAGAGTTTCGTATAAGTCAGAAAAGTTCTCATTGTTGATAGTATTGAGAGAAAGTAACGAAAAAACAACAATAGCATAAAGATATGTCGGTAAGCAATTTCCGATATTTTCTTCAAACAGTTTCTCCAAATAATTTGACATAAACACGGCATAGGTGAGATGTGATGACAGAATAAAATCATCATCTTGTTGACTTTTATCTATTAACAATTTGAATGCCACTGGAGAAGAGAGGCACTCATTCATATCCAATATTTCTAGGACATACTGCAAATTAATTCACTGCTGAGTCATTTACGATATGAAATCATTCGTTAAGATTAAAGGTGAGCAGATCTCAGCATTCCATTTCACAATGACATCCTTTTCAAGCTAAATCAGTTTGCATTCAACTCAGCACTTGATATCAGAAAAATTCTTTAAAGTTGCTTTTATTCAATTTCCAAGACTTTGATGAAAATTCAAATTCTAAAAATAATACCGTTTCGTCGAGAGTAGCGAACTTATGAAGTAGATCCTCACAGGTGATAATAAAATGAACTAAAGATGATAACGGCAATAAATTCGCTACAGCTGTGGCAGCTTCAATAGCCAAATAACTGAAAAATTATACCTTTAATGAAAGAATTGATAAAGTTAAAACGATAAAATGTAGTTTATCCAACATTATTGTAAATCTATTCAAAATTTTATTTTCAAAGGTTCAACGCAAACGAAATACTAATGTAAACTGATTACGAAAATTAGCGTTAGCAAAAATGTATGTGATACAACTAGCTCAAAACCGCTTACGCTCGCTTAGTTAGCAATTACATGTAAAATGTATCACAAATATGAAATTCGTAAAAAGAGTAGAGTGAAAAAAATATATTTAAATTCTTATATATAGTCTATAAGATATGAATGAATTTTTTAAATGTACTCCGGCTGAGGAAGATTAACTGAGAGTTTATCAGAAACAATTTCTGCAATCAATTTCATATCAACATCAGAAGAAACCAATCCTTCCATTGAATATTGAATGTCTTCTGAAAAATAGCGATACACAAATCTGTTCTGGTTCACTGCTTTGCTTCTGCACTGATTTGGATAATGCGCTGATTACAATAATGAAACTTAAAATTCAATACATTTAAAAGAGAAAACTCCAGTAATTTTCCAAGATAATTCTGGTACTAATTTCAAGTTAAATCTGGAGTTAAAAAGATTTGAAAGACTACTTCAAGCACCTATAGATCTCGAATTCAAACCTGGAGATAATTCTGACTTGAAAAAATTTTCGGTGATAATAGTAGTAAGGTTGTTCCGCATATGTTCAGAAATCTGAAATGACTTCAATCAAGACACATGGACCTTGATTCGTTTTCAGTATTACCCATCCACAGAATAATGTAAATCAAATACATAGTTTTGCATACATAATTATCTTATAAAAGAAGTAAATTTGCAGTGCTTAACATTTCATATCAAAGGAATAAATTTTTTAATATCAAAAATACCATTTTATATTGAAAAAAAGATGCACCTTTCTACTTTGTTTACTCAAAATTATTGCAAAGAACTTTGAATCCAATGAACAGTGATCCACCAAAACCTGAACGAAATTATCTTCAACAGAGAAAATAACTACACATGATGTTGTCATATGGTTCTGTGCTAAATGATATTCAATCTTAAAGTGCATCCGGATATTTCCTGCATTGCTATTTTTTTTACTGATCTGAACCTAATCAAATGATGCATATGAATAGCAATGATCTCAAAGATACATAGAAGCACTGCTATAAAGATGGAATCTAAGAAACTGACAAAGAACACTTATACTCGACAAGTCTAACCACGGATCACTGGTAACAAAATTTTTATGAATACAAAATAATTTCAAATAACAAGCCTGTTCTAAAACAGCTTCGAAATTGAAAAATAGAGGAGCAATATCCAGCACAGCAGACCAACGCTTTGTATCTACTTGCCGAATGCAAAATCTCATTGCTTTTGTGAGAACTTGATCATAACTCAGGAACTGGCTTGAAGAATACTTGACTTTATCCAGCAATCCAAAAGCAAGCAGAAATCTTACTGATGCTAATTCATCATCCAACTGAAATAATAAATCATGCACAACTGACTTGAGATAATGAATTCTACAAAGTTACAAAAACAATTTGGATAGTTCTTTTGGAAATATCACAAAATTTATCTACTTGATTTGAGAACAACATTTAGTAGAAGAAGATAGTTGAACCTTATAAAAATCCGTGATTTGTTGTCCAAAGATAATTGTTAATTTCATCAGCAACATTAGCAAAAGCAATGCTTCATCTTCACTTTTTTCCCAGTTTATCTTACTTGAAAGAGCTTGACAAATATGAACTGGAGAATTTATTCTTCTTAACATGTCATCATCACACTTTTCCAGTAAATAATAGATTATTCTTTGACTACTGAGGGAATTTTCAATCAATTTCTCGATGCATTTCAGCCACGATGGCTTGATTTGATCACAGAAAAACTCTTCAATGAGTTGTTCTGATAAAGGTAACTGAAAGTAAGTTATTTTAACATACTACAATGCTGTCTGAACTAAAAAAAATTATCACATTATATTCGACTCATCATAGTAGCTTTGGAACATAATATATACAAGCTGTTAAAAAGTACTGAAACATACATCATTCAAGAAGAATTCTTCAATTTGAGTGCAAAGCTGAAGTTTAATGGGTGGATATGAGCCACATTTATTTATGGTAGAAACTAATGTATTTGCCATTTTTTTGTTTTGTGATTTTTCATTCCAACTCAATATGTGCTTCATTGGAATCCATATCTAAAATTAAAGAAGAGAGGCTGGTCGCTAAAAAATATCAAATTGCGAAATAATTAAAACCAATCAAACCTTTGAAATGATTTTTTCAACAATATCGAGATCATTGCCACAGTGACCTAAAGCCCATGAAACTCCAAAATCGATAAAATCAACAAAGGCGTCGACCCAACTTACTTTTGAATTCGAGCATTTCCATGGAGTTCTGAAATATCTGATAACAGTTTTTGTAAATCAAGTATGCCATGAATTAGAAGTGCTTTTCCTTACCATTGTTTATTAATTTTTTTCCAAACAAATTTCTAAAAACAGACATAAAAATGAATTTTTAAGGCTTACTCATCCAGAAATGAATCTAGTAATCGTAATAATAATGCCTGACCATCGTCTTTAGTTTTTTCTTCGAATATAAATTTAATGAATGATACCAAACTTGTAGAAATGTGATTCCAGTGACTAAAAATTTCGAATAAATTGCTTCATTAGTTCAAATAATAAGGCGCCATTGCACATGAATTTCAAATTTTTACAGATAAAACGAAACACTGAGATACTATTTTTGAATTACCAATTTAATCGAAGAATTCAGTTCATGAAAAATTTAGTAATATAATTTTCAAACAAGTCCCTTTTTCAGATGTAAAACATCTTTCGAATCATAAAATTGGCGCCAAAATATTTCAAAATTATTCCACTTGATCACTTTAGCGATAAATATAAAAAATGATATACATTTTTCTGATAAAGAAAAAAAAATGACTTCAAAAACTTACACTCCTTTTTTTCGAATCAGTGATATTATACGTGGTGTCACAACCTTATCAATATTTAAAAAGTTCGATAATTCTTTTGAATTAGCCATCGAGAGTAGGAGATGTGTGGCAGCTCGACAAACACCTCTATCAGTATGGTCAAGACGTGCTAATGCTCCTTTCGTTATACTACTTTTTATTACTGCTGTTCGTTCCTCACTATTAGTCATCAAAATATTTGCAAGGACAAATACGCCACTAACAATCTATAATATTATCAAAAATTTTCAAAATAAACGTAAAACTGTGAACGTATTCAAGGAAAATTTTATGACCAAATTTAACTTGAATAATGACATAATAAATCATTTTTTACATCATAAAATTAGTTCAAATCAAATTGAATGCAGAGATGCATAACTAATGGCGATAGACTTTGAAATTTATGAATAAGGAAATTTTTGGAGAATGATAAAATTTTTGTATTTTACAGAATACAAAAGGTTTTGTAAAACTGAAAGAGTTCTTTGATGTTTTGGAACTGTAACTTATAGATTTTCAATCACCTACAAAAATTTACTATTACACATTATGTAGCAGGATAAAAAGATAATAATTAAATATTTTAACTCATAACTACTGATGAATGAAACAAAAACAAAAAACTACAATTCACTAGATTTGTTTGAATATACCAATGGATCCATTGACAATAATTTTTTCAGTGATGAATCTTCAAACAAGCGAATAATCTTTGAAACTTGTTGGTTATTAGGAGAATTTGAAGTAACAATCCATTCAAGACACCGAAAGCTTTGAGAAATTAGTCTTACAGAGCGCTGAACTTCTATTTCTTCTTCTTCTCCTCTACAAAAAGAAAAATATTAATGTTTGATGAGTTAAACATGAAAAAGTTTTTATGAAGGTCAATATATAGAGGATAATTTTAAACAGTTCCTCATAAAAAACCATGCGCAGAGTTTAAAAGAGTTACTTATGTAATAATGGATGCGTGCCATCGATTAGTTCGAAAGACATGTCACACAAAGGTTCTCTGCAGAGCTCCATGACAATATCATATTTTCCATTAGGAAAGAATTTCGCTGTCAAGCTTTTCGATTCGTTTGCTACTTGTGAATAACTATCATGAATCAAGAACAACACATAAGGAAGAACCTAAAAATGGACGCAAGCTTATTTTTCTACAAATTAGTTGCTTACTGATCCAACTATTCATCTTTATTTTATATATCATAATTAAAAATGAGAAAAATTTTTGCGGCAAAAATTGCCAACAGAAACTCGTGGAAGATTAGAATAATTTATACAGGATAATACCTGTCATGATATATAACTCTCATAGTGAAAGTCATCCATAAGTATTATGATTTTTTTTTTGGCACTGCTCATTTTTCAGGGCATGGTTTATAGAATAAATTATGTGTGATAAAGTTTAAATTTTACTGCTCACAGAAAGTACTGCACTTTAATGCAAGAGTATTATACAATCATTTTCGGTATAGTTATTTGCAGAAAAAAATTTTTCTCATTCATGGATTATTTTTAACATATGAGGCGTTTTTTGTATCTTCGTCAGAGACTAAAAAGGTCTCATATGTTAAAATATATCTAGAAGTTATCAATAGCGAATATCTTACATAGAATAAAAGCTCTCACTTTTTTCAGATATCGTTCGCTGCTTCGACGCAGCTTCTTAATATAACTTTCTAAGGCACGAAGAACACCTGTTCTTACCATTACTGAGCCATCCAAAGACAATTTTGGGAATATAGTAACAAAATGCTTAAAACTTTTCAGAGCATCTTCAACTGCCACCTCGTCAATAACCTGCTTCAATTCTTTCACTCCCTGTAACGCTACATTATTTATATAATAAGACTGAATAGAGTTATTTTCATCTACATCAATTCAAATAAATAATGTTGACTTTGCCGAAAAGTTTTTGACACTTGGACACTTACTAAATAATATTCCTTACTAAATAATATTCCTAATTATCATATTGCTTCCATAGCACATAGAAACAAGGTTCTAAAATAGAAAGATGTTAAAACTACCTAGAATTTTACATACCTTTTCACGAGTCTGCGCATCTTTTTTCATAACTTTTTTTAGAGCGACTTGAATTGCTGGATTAAGTGAATTATCATCAGCAACATGTTGATCTAGTAAAGCTGCTGTAAGCTGCTCGCAGTCACCAAAAGTTATGAGCGGCACCGTATACCCAGAGTTAGTCAATAATTCAACAGCCTTCGCGCTACTTGCTGCCTAAATAATAAATCCCCTTTTACTTCGATACTTAAATCACTTTCAAATACCAAAAATGGTACATTAAAAGATCACACCCCACTATTATTTTTACTTTCAATACTAATAATCGTAAGTCAATTATACAATTACAACAAACCTGTGTGATTTTTTTTCGTCCTTGATGCTTGCCCATTGATCTGAATTAAATATTATCGGAATGGGTAAACTTTTTAAACAAAAGTCTGCTTAATTCAACGGTACTCTTAACTGCTCAAAAAGCCTAATTTTAAACATTAAACAGTGTTACTAAGAATTGTCTAATGAAATTAAACATCGAACTTTCACCAACAAGAACTAAAACTCTATTATGGATATTTTCTTCAGAACAGTTTCAACCACCACCCACTTCTTGCATTTATATTTAATGCTTCTGAGCTTTTCTAAATTGCGACAACCTTTAATCACCATAAGAGCTTCACAAGTATATACATAACTGGATTCTAAGCATATGCTTCAAGTTGCTTATTTCTCCATTTATTTTATGGAAAACTTCATCATTACTAATACTCCCTCAATTCCCGTTCTAACTTCATTGGACTACAATTGAATCTTAAATTTGACAATTTCCTAGAACCAAAGCAATGCTTTCATTGCATGCAACAATTTATGAAAAGTTAATTACACTATTATCAATTAAAATATGTATAGTTTCTGATGCGTTTGAATAGCATCCGTCAACATCAAAATAAGTTTGGACTGCTTCTATTAACTCATTTACTCTTTATTTTCTATTTAAAATTTACTTAGTATTTAAAATTACTTTGTATTTAAAATTCTGAACTAGTATTTCATCCAAAAATATTGTATGAAAATCTGAAATTTTAATGAAGCAAGTTTGATTGATATGTAGAAATTGATGGAAGTGATGGGCTATATCTAAGGTTTTTTGTCTGAAGACATCTTATTCATTAATTAATGTGTTCATCAGTTAAATCTGTTCAGTTTTAGAAAAAAAAAGTAATGTCACATTACTGGATGGATGGTGGTAATGAGCAGAACACCTGGTATAGTAATCAGGCAAATGCTGGTTACGAACAATTTGATTACAGTCAACAACAAACATCACCACTATATGGTTATCATTTTTTAGTTTTTGTTCAAATTTTACTCATGAACTGATTATATGTGGTGCAGAAAAAAAAATCTATTCAATTGCAACTTTATATACTAATAAACAGTGAAAGTACAGTTCACTGTAACCACTCGAAAAATTTGAGTAAATAGTTAAATGAAGTTCGTAACATTTTTTATCTCTTTGACTACTTCATTTTGTATTTAATTTCTTTGAGTTATAAAGGTAGGTTTGCAAGTTTGTGACTAAGTAATGTTCCTTATATGAGATGCGACTCTATATGTAACTTAACAAGACATTAACATCTAGAGATCGGATTTTCATTCTAAATCATCTTTGTGTACTAAATTCAATGCCATTTATTCGCTCCAGTGCTCTGTTATTTTGAAACGATATTGAGTGTCATGCATTCGTTATTTTCAGGTCCAACGTTTCACTCAGAACAGCAACAGCAACACATGCAAAACATGTATAATAATCAGTTCTTCATTCCATCTCAATCAGAAAGTAAATGCTTTTCTCACACAAATGTTAAAAATTTACTGTGAACAGTTCTTCGTACTGTCATAGGTTACAAGATATTTCTTTCATTCACGTTTTCTTCTCATACAAAATTTTGCTATATTGTAAAATATTTTTACAGTGTTTATTTTGTTTTTAGTTCAGTGCAAGAATAGTTTAGAAACCGAACCTCCACTTTTGGAAGAACTTGGAATTAATTTCAGTCATATTAGGCAGAAAACATTTGCAGTATTAAATCCGGCTGGCTCTGTGGCACCTGATGTAAAGCTTTTATTTTTTTGTCTGAGATTAATCTTATACTTCATACATGATGTACCATATAATTACAAAAATGAAACAATTTTGTGGGTATTACAAATCTGTTGTTCAAGTGTTTTATCCATTTTATTTTTACTTATATTAAATTATTTTCAGGTTATAGCTGACCAAGATTTAGCTGGCCCACTTGTATTTTGCCTTCTGTTTGGCGCAGCTTTATTACTTCATGGCAAAGTACGCTTATCACATTTTAATAAAGCTCCTCATGTAGTTGAAATTATTGTTGTAGTATTCTGTACTTTACAGTTTTTTAAATTTCACTTTCTGCAATTTTTGCAAGAAGTATCAATATCACTCTTTTTTTTTTCGATCAGTATTTGACTTGTCACAGTAATTAAGAGACCAATTAAAATTATATTTCGTTAGTAGGCTGGTGTTCACAATTTATGGGCTATTTATTTAATATGATCTAGCATTTAAGATGCACTTTGGGTACATATATGGAATTGGCGCTTTGGGATGCATTGGAATGTATGCATTACTGAATTTAATGGCTGAGGATCGCAGTATTTCATTTACTTGTACAGCTAGCGTTCTTGGATACTGTTTGCTACCAATGGCTATAGTGAGTATAGTAGCTGTGGTCCTTTCCTTTCAGGTATTCCCTTCAGAAATCAAAAAAATACAAAAGATTTTACCAGAATCCACTGGCCTGATCTTTTAAATTTATGTATTGAAACTCATTTTATTTGCATCGTTTTACGACACCAAATCTTTTCTTGAGGTTTATCGTTAGAAAAGATTTAGAAGTTCTTTTGTTTAAAGTGTGCTCATCTAACTGAATTTTATAGGGCATAGTGGGATACTTGATAGCAGGCGCTGCTGTTATATGGTGCAGTGTTGCTTCGTCGAAATTATTTGTCACTACTTTATCTTTGAATGGGCAAAGATTGTTAGTAGCTTATCCATGTGCCCTTTTATACTGTGTTTTTGCTCTTCTTGCTATTTTTTAAAATAGTTATAAATTCTTGTTTGCTGTACTTTTAGTAGCAGGTGTTATGTGTATCCTTTATTTCTTTTTTGTTTCTTTGTTATGTCATTCTTGTTTTATACTGTTATTTTCACTTGTTCACAAAGTATCCATAGTCTTTTCTTTGGAACAGCTCATCAATTTCAAACTTAACGTGCTTATTAACATCAAGTATTTTTCTTGACTTAATAAGTAAGTAGTTATGTAGCTGAAATTGTTAATTATAGAATGTATAGGAATTCGCTGGATGAAGTGTGTTCTATTCACTGTGTTCTAAAATTTTATAGCACTTTGGCATCTTATTTTGTTGAAAATATGCATTTTAATTTCGTATATTGCGTATATTGCATATAAAATGTATTTATTGTTTTCGGTTATTTGCTCAAGTGCAGTTTTGCTTCCATAATTTATTTAGATGAAATGGTATTTGAGGGCAGAGGTCTGTGAAATATTTCTAAGGTGGGTATTATATATCCATCACTCATGCCTTCTGATTGTTCTATTGTGATTCTTAAAGTAAGTGGCTAAGTTCATGGCAAATGAAAGGGAGATACGTGGTAAATGAACCTAAAGAGTTAATATTAATTAGTTTTTACAGCTTGCAGTCCCGTTAGTAAGTTTAAGAGGAAGTCAATGATTGTTGAAAGTGAGTCGAGGATTGGAACTACTGGTTTAGAAGAGCAAGATGCATGGATTGTACATCCTACTCCGGGTTATGTGGTCAAATTTAGGGAGGTACATTTTTTTAATTGCAATCGAATTTTATTTCGAATTTTTCTTACTTCATTTTATACTATCTATGTGACTTAATACGAAATTAGGTTTAAGATTTTCCCTTTACTTCATCTTTCGCTATTTTTTTTTTTGAATTCTCGATATATCGGATATTTTAAAAGTTTTCTGTGAAGTAGTAACCGTTAAAAATTAGTCCTTATTTTGGTGCTTTTTGTTTGTTTTTTTGAAGGTCGATTCGGATTGCCGTACATTATTTGTGAAAGAAAAAAGCAAACTATTTCTAAATATATGTCACTGCGCGTACTTGCCACCTCCTGCTCAAGATCTCGATGAGGTATGGATTTCATTATTTTGTTTATTTGAAACGAGTTGTGACAGACATTAGCAATATTCTGATGCGATAGCTTAGGTTTTTTGCTTATGTTTGAATATTTGATGTTCCTCTATCGATTAGTAATGGGCTGTTTTATTTTCTGAGTTTTACTAAGCTATGTGCTCATGAAATAAGGTGCTAGAGAATAGACTTGTTGCAATGTAATTTAACGTTTTTTTTAAATTTTAGGATGAAGTTGCTAAAATATTAGATTCTAGTGATCCTTCAAGATATCGGATACCACTCTGTGTTGGTGATGTTGAAGTAGTGTTGGATCGAAAAGGAGAGAAATCTGTTAAAGTAAATTTCATTCTTTATCTAGAAAAATACAGATTATAGTTATTAGTTTATTTGTTTTGTGAGAAGCATAACGTTTGTGCCTCAAAAACTCATGAAATTCTGTCATCCTGTTTAGTACTACTCTATCTATTCCAGATTGACGTAATTGTAAACTCTACATTTTTTTCCAACCAACTCGAAAAAAGTGAATTTTTCCGCCAATTATTATTGCTAGTTATTTCTGATGCGGTAGAGAAAAAACATGACATAAAGATTGATGTGAAGGTATTTTTTTTTTGGAATTTCGTTTTAAAATTCACAGTCATATTATTATATTATAATTTCATTTGAAAATCATATTATTCATCAATAAATATTAAATTCAGATTCTTAATTTGGATACGAAACCACTTTTATTATTAATTTTGCATTTTTTGGAAAGATATAATCATTTATATTATGGTAGTTTTGAATCACATTTTCGTACATTCAGGAGGCTATCAAATTGAAAAATCGAAAATGTGTGGGTGATTTGAGTGTTCAGAAAATACAAAAAAGACCGCGGGAAGCGCTCATCAAAGAAATAAATTCAGTCACTGAAACAGCGACTGTTTCTCTCCAAGTGCTTTTTTTTCGTTGTCTGCAACCTTAGTCTTAGTTGTGAATATTAAAAATCATTCAGTACACTCTTTGAACTGAATATTTTAACTTAGTATTTATAAAAGCATGTGTTTTTTACATAATAAAAAAATGATGTACATGAAAACTTGTTTGCATAAAATTTGACCTTTATTCATTTTGTGAATGTGGTCAACCTACTGAGCAATATTTTTGAATTTTGATGCAAATGAATATCTCTTTATTTTGCTGCGAAAACTTTTCAGGTTTTGAGTTTTATGTAATCAAATGTATGTTTTTACCGGAAAATAAATTTTAGTGTGACTCGCTAAAGAATTGTATGCTACTTCTTCGAAATGGTAAACAACTAGAAGCGCATCTTAACCTATCCACTGTTAAGCCGTCAGTAACTGATATGAGCAGGTAAATTTCGCCCATTATTTTGATTCATATTAGAAATTTTAGACACAAAGATATGAGATGGAGTTAGCACTAACTTTATATTATTAAACGATTAATGTCTCTAGAATTCGAGGCTAAAAAATTTCTTGAACTCTGTTTGATAATAATTTCTTATAAAGTCGTGGTACTGAAGTATTATAGCTTCATAAAAACTGGCTTTTTTAGGTTAAAAGTTCGCATGAACGATGATCATCTATTGGTCATTTTGGATAGGAAGAAAACTATCTTGGATGTATACTTTCCAGTTAAAGTAAATTATGAAACAGCTGCTGTGAAGCTTTTCGCTGATAAAAAAATGTTGCAAGTTTTAGTACCCGTAGTTTGGTGATATTTAACGGTAGTCTGTTTCCTCTATCAGTTCTATCTATGCATGTTATGTTTTTTGAATATTTTTTGTTATATTTCTTATTATAGTGTTCTAAGTTTTATTATCATGATAACTTTGGCTCTTCTACTTTTATAATGTGCTGGAAATGAATGATAAAAGTAACTTTTTTTGGTATGCAGGAATGCCTAGTAAACACAGTTAATGCAAAGTAATGAAAACGATAGGATATCCTGAGTTTACACTTTTTATCAGTTATCATGTATTGAGTATCATTTCACAAATATTTTGAAATCAAGGTTTAAAATTGCAATAACTTATGGACTATCTGAGCGTTTTATTTTTAAATTGTATTTAATCTCGATTGCTTTTTGCGCGTTAATTATGCTTTACTGCTTCTTTTTGAAATTATTAAAGGCGATTTCCTTCATATGAATCTGTTATGTAACTGTTGCAAAAGCTGTCGTGGATAAATATATAGATTTTTAAACATGAAAATGAAAGTACCAAAAGTTTTAGAAAGCAATTTCATGTTTCGATTTCTATAAAGTTTTTCAACCATGTTTTCGACGGTCACTCAATATCACTAGTGTGGTTTATTTTGCCTTGTTAATATTTATAATTTGAAATGCAGTATCATTTTACCTTACTTGTTGGTTCTTTGAATGCTAATCCAAGGTGGGGTCATTTTTCTACTTTTTCAGTCAAGCACTGCGTAGTAATTTCTGTCAAGTATTTTAGAAATGATATTGTTGGTAAGTCAGTAAGGAAAGTTGACGATTTGGATTCTCTTGAATATGTTGCTCAGTCGTCGTTTACTTACGAAGTTATGTTTTAATTCCGATTTAACTTTTCCTGAACAATGAAATTTTCACAAAATTTTTTTTCCTTCTTGTGAGATCTGCAAGCTATTTACTAAGATTTCTAGTATAGAATCAGCTGAAGTTTTCGAATGGAATTCATCTGTTTTTAATCTGACGATAGCAATAAATTTATAGGCTCTAGATAATGTTGTTTTATCTTAGTACGAGTTCAAGGAAATAGATGCAATGATTCATGATATAAGCATTTGGGAAGTAAGGATGTAACTTTAATATTATTATTATATTGTTCGTATTTGTAGGTAAACCAGACCTTCATTCTACAATTGGAACGTGTTTTGGGTAAGGAATCTATAAAAGTGAATAACGTATTATCAGGAGGACAACAACATTCTTGTGAAAACATGTTAGTGTTTAATTTTTATGTTAAAATTTCTTTCTAATTTAATTCGAGTATGTTTTGGTATGCTTTTTTTTTGCTGAATAAAATATGCGTTTATTAATATGTAACGAATTTAGAAGGAAAGAGTCGAATGTGGTTCTACTTCCTCAAAACGTTCAGCAAGTTAGTGCTGTCGTCAAAATGTGCAATAAAGAAAATATCCCATTAGTCACTTTCAGTTCGGATGTTGGATTACAGAATGACATCTCTATATCACAGGTTGCTATGTAGTTTTATCAAATAACAAGTCCAAATTTTGGTCTCAAATTAATTTGCTCCAAGAAGATTGTTTTATGATGCTGATTGTACTATTGAATTTGATGTAACGCTTGATTCATAAAATATTCAATCTTAATATCCATAAATTTATCTCAGCACTCATTTCACATTTTTTACTAGGAAGGCATAATTATGGATCTAACGTCAATGGATAAAATTGTGGAAGTAAATACAAATGACTTTGATTGCACTGTTGAACCTGGTGTAACACATGAAGCATTAAATCAATATTTAAGCAATACAGGACTTTGGTTTCCTGTTGGTATGCTTTAGATTACATTGCATGTTAAATTTGTCTTCATAAGTACTTATTGGTACTTATAATAATTGCGTACTAGAAAAAGCTGTTAAGTATATAATAAGTACTTGCAGATCCTGATGCTAATCTTTCGATTTGTGGTATGGCTGCGACTGGTGCAAGTGGTACGAGTGCAATAT